CTTCACCAAGCAAGCAACACAGAAAGGCTGTAAAGCACTGAATCCTGGGGGTATTGCATGCAGTTGGTTATAGGTCTGCGTGCAGAGCGAGCATGAGAGGTAATTACTGGGTCTGAAACCTTAACACGAGTAGAGGATAAGAATGAGATCCTTTCCCTGGACTGGTGTTTTAATAGGAGTATGGGGGATAGCGTGACACAGGTTTTCTCCTGAGACATGCAGCACCTCTCCCAGGTAACAACTACACCTGTAGCCTCAAACCAGACGGCACGGTACTCGCTTAATGAAGCATGTGATTGTGCATAATCATAACTCAAAGAGTAAGGTGAACTGCAAAAACACATAAAAGGTGACATTTTCTTGCTTGACAATGGAGATACCAAGACAGTTGGCCCGGAAGTCTTTTTTTCAAGCCATTTTACATGATTAATAAGCTAGAGAGCAGGAGTTGAAACTGCAATTAAAGGTGTCTTCCATCAGTAGAAAACCCCCTTTCTAGTAGTCAGCTACAGGAGGACCGAGGGGAGCAATGCTCCACCAGAGAAGTCATTATTTCTCCACCATCCCCTCTGCTCTATGGAATATATTAACTTCACAGTGTTGCTGTCTTAGCCAGAGAGCCTTCATTGCTTGTTTTTTTTAAGGGATGCATGCAATTAGAAGAAGGGAAAGAAGAAAGTGCTTGGAATAGTCTCCAACCCCTACACAGATTGAGTAGCAGCACAAAACAAGCTCAGTGGGCCCCTCGGGGCCCTGCCTCAGACTGAGGAGAGCCTCAGATACTCACTGTCACCGCTGTTCATTGACAACAAAAAGGAAGAAAATAACTACAAAGCCTCCATTTCACTGTGTAAATGGCTTCCTAAATATGTACGGATGGATTTCCAATAACAGACAGCCGCCCGTGTTTTTGCACGAAAATAATACTTCCTTTGTAGAGGAATAAAATACCTAAACAGTATTAAAGTAAAAATCCACCTTCACCTTAGTATTGTTGGTAAAAGTATACAGACATTGCACAGTTGAACAGGTCTCCCTTGAAAAAGAGACCAATGATCTCAATGGGATACACCTGGGTAAATAAAGGTTTGAAATGAAATGAAATGAGTCAAATGTATTTCCATGTTCAACAAAGAAGTTACCCCCCCCCCCATCCTATAAACTTTGCTCTAATTATTCTTCTACGGATTACAGTGCTGCAAACACCGAGAATCATTACACCCATAATTCCCTGTTTTACATAATGTCACAGCGAATATGTCCCTGGATTTGGTTTGCAGCTACAGTACAATTATTAATATAAAAGTGACTGATACTTTGCGGAGGTGTGCTATCATCCACAGACAAGTCTTATACCCACACAGGATACCTGTCCAGGTGACCTCATGATTATGCTTCACCTTCGAAACAATTACAGGGATAGTGAAGAATCATGATAATTGGAGAAACGGCAGAGGCATTATTATGAATCTATTCTTCCTTCCATGTGCGCTACAGTAATGAGCCTGAGGAAAGTGATTGTCGTACATTAGATGGTTCACTGACTTCACAGTCATTGTCTTTATCTGAGATAGAAAGGAGAGGCGGGGGAAGGATCGCAATTCCTTTGAGGTGCATTTAAATCATGTTCTCCACATATTACTCAGAAAATTCCCTCTTGAGAGTGTGAGCTGAGATGGCGTCCTTCAAGCCCCGCTGGGTTTCCTGTCATCATGAAATGGGAGCAGGAGATTAGGGGGGTGAGGGATGTAGAGGATGGAAAAAGGGGGGGGGGGTAAATACTGAAATCTGGTCTAATCCCATCTCGTACAGCTGAAGATACACTCCTAAGACATTTCTGCTCAGAGCTGAGGATAAATGGAAGGAATGAGGGGAATACCATTGGGAATGAGCTTTATAATATATTGTTTGGAAAGAGTGCATCTCCGAATAAACTAACAACTCCAAATTTGGCTTACATATTCAATAATGTCCATCATCTAGCGTGGCACACTTGCAAATGCTTTTGTACTCTAGAAAAAAGGAAACGGTCCCCAAAGTGAATACAACTGGCTCCCAATACAATGTTATGAAAAAGGGCCACAAAGGCATTCTATTATTTCAAATTTCAGTGTGAGCCGCTAAGGGTTAAGTTCAACCGGATACATGTTTTGCAGGTGACTAGCTGAGTGCTGCTATTCTCGCATAAGAAATGCATCAAAGTGGCAATTTTACACAGCTCATTGTGTTTAATGGAGTGCTGTAAAACACGTCCATTGCACTGTAATTAATGAGGAAAAGACAGAGGCGTGGAACACATATCTAGAGGGTTTTTATCATAAGTATTCCAATTTCATAATATTGTCATTTAATTTGCTGCGATTCTAACGTTTGGCTGCAGCACAAAGCTAAGGAAGAGCTCCCTTATGACAATTAATCAGTCATACTTCGTTGAAATACAAGACGTCTTTTATAACTCACTTTAAACTCAATGACAGTTTTATCGTCCATCAGTTTCATTTTAATACCCTTTAATAAGATATGTTTATTTGGTGTTTCATTGATATCATTTGGCAAATCACTGTTGCAACTTTATGATGCACAGAACATACATCTTGTAACACATTTCCATTATAGTTGTGCTTTTAAACAGCTCTTTTGCTCATAATAAATTACTAGACAAACACAAATCCAAAGCACAACTTCTGTGCTTCTGTTTTGTTGTTCTATCACGCTTCTCTCATTTTCTAATGAAACGCAACATTTCATAAACCCCCCAGATTAATGTGCAGGAATAAATCAATAGGAAGGAGCATTCAAAGTGACTGCTGATGCGAGAGGAGAGGGGATTCTCACAACACACTGCCCCTGCTGTAAGAACATGCCTTATCAACATTTCCCCCCTATATAACGGTATACTGCACATTTCATCAACAAAGCTACGCATGCATCTGCGGAAAGCTACACGATCTTCCTGCCTTGTTTTCCCTCTCTCACCTCTCCTGTCAGCGCAGTTTTGTTCTCTACCTCTAACATTCATCACTCGTCAACAGTTCACCGAAAAGCTGGCATACATCGGAGACCGTCTCCTTTAGAAATGTTTCCACTAAGTCCAGCCCTGTGTCTTCAGGAGCAAACGTCTTTTTGCTCCAGTGTAGACACAGAAATATTTTAATGGACAGTAGAAATAGCTTTTAAGGTTTTGTAATGCTAGATACTTCAAAGTATGTAATGCACCAGCATGCACCAAATGTCTACCAATCCTCCTTCACGTCTGGTCATGAGGACCTGAATGAGAATGAACTTCATGGTATTTACATTTTATGCAAAAGGATAGGAATTGTTCAGCAATAAGTTAGCCAGTGTGCGTGATGTACAAGCAAGTGAGAACATTTGTATGTATATTAATTCAGCACTGCATTGGGATGAGCTACCTGCCAAAGCCCTGTTGTGCCATTTAATTTGAAAAAGGTGCCCTGCCTATGCAAATCGTTGGAGAGGACATTTTTCATCACTCGCATAAAAATAGTGCATAAAAGGAAATCTCGACTGTTTTATCCCTGTTCAGGTGTTTGGTGCAGATGGACAGGAGCCCAGAAATCTGCCGAACACACAAGGATCTTAGTGGAGCGTTCACACATCTGTCCTTTTACACCCATATTCCAATTTATGTTCTTTTGAACATCTTGTTGCATCTCTGGTTGCCATTTGCTGATGAATGGAGTGTGTGAAAAAGGTTGTATCCTTTTAAATTGGTCAGTTACTCTTGGATTAAAACTAGGGGATAAAAAAAACCAGTGGGCCCTGAGGAATGGTAAGAAAAAACAATGTGAAAAAGCAAATCTTGGTCAAAATAAGTACAGATGTCTCATAAGAACAACATCAAGGAGCTTGTCCTCAGGACAGGCCTTCTTACAGTATGTCACTGTGTGTGAACTGAATGTGTGAATATTGGTGTGTGTTTGATGAAAGCTTCAAGACAAATTCATGTTTGTAACTGTGTGCTGATCTGTAGTTCTGTCATAAGTTCAAACGTATTTTCAGTAGGGGGGCTCCATTATCAAAACACTTGCCTGATTATTTTTGCAGCTGCGGTTACAGCTAATCAATTGTTGTTTTATTTCACGCGTTATTATTCATGTGTCATGTAACAGACAGATGTTCAACCTGTCTCAGATTTAGCACTTCTCAACACTTGGGTACTACACAGGGAATTTCATTTTAGCACCTTACCTCCACAAGTCCATTGTGGGTTAGTTGCTACACAGTGTGCATAAAAGGGCATTTCGAGTTTTATGTCAAGAAAATAAGAGAAGCATTTACAGGAAAAACGTCAGGGGTGTAAAGACGAGTTTAAAAAAAAAAAAAAATGTTGTTGATGGATGTGCAGAAAACATCCAGCCTTACCCTTACTACTGCTCTTATTTGACTCTGGCCAGCAGGGGGGACCGCAGTCCCCACAGCACCCCCCTTCCCAGGCTAATGAGTATTGTTGTCAGTAAGTGGTGCTGGTGGGAGGAAGGTCATGTGGCAGCCAGAAAAATTATGTCCAGTTCGGAGATGCACTGTATGGAACCACCCGCATTACTGCACCATTTCCATCAGTCACACACACACTCACACACCAGAGGAAGGGAGCAAGCTTTCAACATAAACATACCGTACTGATGTTGTCATTAAATCATGGTTTCATTCTACAAACACTCAAAATGTACTCTATAAATTGTGTTTGTTTCAAAAGATTGGAGTCACTGCAACTTAACAACTCACCAACTGTAGTCAGATTCTAATTGGTAAGTAAGTCATAATTATTTTCCAGCTGCATCCCTTCCATTTTAAATCAGTGGAGAAGTAATGTGAAAAATCCAAAACGTTGGCAGGCAACAGTGAAGGATCCCACCACTCATTGAAAGACATTGATTGAGAAATGTGTTTTGGGGGTTTATCCTAATGTGATGCAAGCACTGTGTAATGTGGTACTTTCTTCTTAAAGGAAACTAATAAACAGATTTGTGACTTACGATGTGGAGTTTGAGGAAGTCTCCGAGACCAGAGGAGCTGTCCACCCTCACCAGGACAGCATCCTTCAGCTGTGTGCTGAAGCCGATGGCCAGACGGTCTGCCCTTGTGCTGGGACGATCATTTGGCGGCCACGTGTACGTGATCAGTCCGCCATCTCGCCCAAATATGTACGTTGTTCCCGCTAGAGGAAATGAAAGGAGAGAGGACAAATATTAGACGTTAATAGTATATTCCCTTTTGCAACCAAGTAGCAGGCGTGAACTAACTGTCAACAAAAAAGCATTATTAACACCGCAAAGCCGGCATCCATGCCATGTGTACAGAGCACCGTCAGTCTGAAGTGTTTCATTGTGCTGAGTAATGACTTTGCTAAGCACTGAGCAACATATCACTCTTGAACAGCTCTCAGCCCCATCTGAGGGTTTAAGTACACTCATGTCAATTCATGAGACGGGAAAATTCAGCAGAAATGAGGGAGGCAGGTACTGGTGCCGTTTTCCTCATAATGCTGCACAATTACTCAGTTTTACTGCCACTGCCTGCTTCACTTCTCAAAGAAAGAGATACAAGCGTGTGCAGGAGGGTTTGCAGTGGTGTCCCCGATGCCCAGGTAACCGGCAGGCCAAACGGGCACCTCCCCGTCTCTCACGCTTCATTAGCAGCCTCAAAGGCAGACGCGGCATTATTGACTGACTGGTCCAATTATGTCCTCTTTGTGACCTCCAAACCAGATACTTCCTGTCTCGCTGCATTAGCTCGTTTTCTTTAGCGGCAGCATAAAAGGTTTGAAAGTGACCAGGTAGGTGGAAGATTAGTCCTAATTATGTAGCTATTCAGTGAGAAAGAGCCTTGTGGCACTATGCCAGTGACCGAGTCAAATTGATGGTATGAAATAAGTCGGTCTAGACTAATGAAGGAAGTGGTAAAAGGTGGCTAATTGTTCATGTATAAAGCCACAGTCTAAGATATTGATGCTTGCGAACCGTAAAGCTCTTCACTATTTCAGAGCTGTCGGAGTTATGTCAATCAAATAATGTCTATTTTTTCTCAATTATAACCCGTCAATAGGAAAGTGTTTCAATGCATTCCTGCCAGGACATAGACACGTATGCTCGGGGGAGAAAGTGCCTATACGTGTGTATGCAACTGGGAATGAATAAGTATGTGATTGCGAAATAAATGCCTGTGAGAAAGGCTGAAAATAAATGCAGCTGTCAGATTAGCATAAAAACTGCTATCTTCATGACAAATTAGAGCTCTGCTTGTGTGTTATTCATTTACATGTGTGTGTGTGTGTGAGTGAGAAGGAGAAACCAAGAGGGAGCGAAAGACAGAGTGTGTTAATATTCATAGAGGGGAGGGAGTTAAACAGCCTTAGACTGAACAATAGATTATAAATCATTTTGACTGTAATTTCAATATTTTCTTGTAAACCAGTTCACGAGAAAATAAAACTATCGATATATTTTGGATTTATTTATATATTTCTGTTGTTTTCCCCCCTCTGGCTTTTCTTCACAGTGGAGTGATTAAAGCGTGTCACTCTACTATCAAATTCCCTTTCCAATTCCACTCCCTCATTTGAATCAATACACACTGTCAACCATTAGCTAAAAAGAATTGCATCATTAATTAACGATAATGTGATTAACAAATGATGTCGGGACATACAGATCTATGGCGAGATTTATTGTTTTCATAAAGCATAACTCGCATTTGTAAGACGTAATGAAATAACAGTGTAAGCATTCTTGTTCGCCTAATGGATAAGCGTTATGAAGCTTGATGACTTCCACAAAGGAAAAGACATTATGCGTAACATATTTGCGAGGCAGGCATCATTTCTTTTTCATGAAGTCTGCCGGCTACCGCTGAAAAACCCTCCCTTGTTCCACTAATGCATATCTGATGTTGGCCCCTTCACAGAGCAATATCCAATTCATGTAGCTCGTGCTGGACTGTTGTCACTTTCTTCCAGTTTCCCCCCCAAGCCACAAACATTTGCTCCATGCTCCAGCTTATTATAATTAAGCTCTTTTAAAACCATGTCAGTGTTGGAACTCACTGGGCCCTTAAGCATCCATTTCCCCTTCTGTCTATTCATACGATTTGACACCCACTTTATCCCACTGACAGCTTATTTACTGTTGGTGACCTCCAAAAAAAAACACAGTATAATATAAAGATTACTCATTTCAGTGGACTGGTGTCTTGCTAGTAGCTCCCTTAAGCTAAATGGATAAATATCAAGACCCTGATGTCAAGTCACCAAAGGTCAACCAAACCAACTACTCTACTCTACTGTGACGTGTAGATTATAGAAATGGTTCCAGAGAAGATTCAGAGAGGGAAGATAATAAGGTTGCCAATACGTGGTGAAGCAGTCTAAAATCCATACAAGCATGTAGGACTAGTGAAAGACTCCTTGAGGGACTGTTGGGGATTAAAAAACATTGAGGAACATGGCTAATGCACACCTACTCAGTATTGCAGTGGCATGAAATCAGCCAACACGTGCCTGTGTAACTCCAGCGGTGGGAGTAATTATGCACTAGCTCCGTATTTGCTATTTGTGTGCCCAACTGGGACACTGGGCACGATATGGATCTGTTGTTGTCATTAGATACGGTAGTGTCCTGGAAATACTTGGCTGTTTGTTGTGTCTTTAATTTGACGAAAGTGTTCAGTTAATTCCCTCTTTGCCCACTAGTAATATTAAAGAAAATAAGCAAATCCACCTGTGTCATAATGAAACATGGACCCCCGTCTTGTATATCATGCCATAGCTGACTTCTTTTGTCATTATATCTAATTAACCAACACATTTGTTTAAATTATTTATCAAGCAACAATATGTTAAAAGGTGTAGTCTCCCAATTATGCTCTCAAAAATGCTCCAGATTGATGTTGCATTAAACTGTAATGTACTATATTAATGGCAATATATATGGATGAAAGAAATGCAAGTTTTTTCAATATTATGCAGCCCTATTTGGTAGGTCTTACTCACAACTATTAAAGATAATCAGACCTCCTCGATGAACTCCTCAACCGCAAGTCTCCTGTGTTAAAGAGTAATGGATTAATCTGTCCGAATGTTGGACTACATCGAGGCGCTGGCTCTACTCTGCTGTGTCAGTTAACATCAAAGGCGATAAACATTGGCAGATCAAACACTCTGCTTTCATTAAAAATGTAGCACCATCCACTCCTGCATTTGACCAAAGAGGTGTGTGGGATAGTACAAATATAGGAAAGCAAGCATGGTATGTGTGGTAAATCCCCCCAGGCACGGACTTCTCAATGTCCGTTTCTGCTGGAATGAAGCAGGAGCATATAGCACTCGAAGCGCTGTTACGATAAATGAACAAAGTGAACAGTGACACTTGTAGAGGCGGATAGGTGTGAGCATGGGGAAAGTGAACTGGCTCTGTGTCCCAGTGTAGCGGTGGTAGGATGTTTAGATTACATAAACCAGGCAGACTGTATGACTATAGTACTCAGCTGAGGTCAGGCCCGCAGACCGTCTTTCCTCTGACCTCCAACACGCCCATCACGCCGAGCCTCATATTACCACCTCTGCCGAGAAACTGGGGAAGAATCCAATCATAATTACATAGTTGTGATGAAAATGAGAAATGACATTATGGATCTGCTTTCTGTCAGCACCGAGCACTTGCTTTTCTCTCTTTTTGCTGCCAAGGATTCCCGTAATGACTGCTGTGCAAAAATAGATTACCAGAGACGTGGCAAAAGAAAAGCTTTTTCAGATTATCTTTTGATCCTTTCCATGCAATGTCTTGAATGGAGTTTCGGAGTAGGATACCTCTTTTCCAAATCCGCTCTCATCTATATAATGTAATATACATGTTTATATATGTCTTATATATAGATATGATGTTTTATAGACTTGAGTAAACAGCATATCTTTACAATGGAACCGAGCCGGATGAAGACAAGTTCAGTTCATGACTTTGACAGGTGACATAAGTTGATACACTATGTTTTACCCAAAATCATATAAAAATACCAAGATATATTAGTTTAACATCATTTGGGTTTAGCTTTAGTCCCCCATGCCAGGAAGAGTACAATTAAAAAGAGGCTTAATGATGTTTATTGGATTACAATTTCAGTTTCCAGAAAAATCGTTAGCACAATTTACGAGGACACGTCCAATAAAACACTACTGGTATGTGGTAAAGGAGCTATCTCCAATCAATGCTCCTGAAGGTTTAGTGCCATGAAGGGAAATTCGGAGTCAACTTGATCTATTTTTTCTACCCCCTGGTCTACCCATCTCACTATATTTGATCTTTTGGGACAATTCAATTGGTCTAGACTCTAGTGGCTAAAGGGATAGGATGGCATGTAGAATGTGGGGTTATGAGCAAGAGCGTTCAAACTGCATGTCCTGACTTGGCAGCGACTACAAAGCAGGGAAGTACTGAGACCGCCGAATAGGTTCACTGTTCACACAGCCTCAGTGAATAATTAAATGGCCCATCATACCCCATGATCCAAAATAATGATGCCAATACAACAATATCTGTCTATGTTTATAATGTAGGTATTTTTGTTTCATCCACAGTATCATTCCTCCCCAGGCTTCTTTGCCAGACAAAATGTATCAAATACTATTCAAACATCTTGTGACATGAACCAGCAATAATGGAAGAAGGAAAACAACATGATTTGATTATTCAAATGTCAATGGATTACGTGTCTGAACTAAAATAATGTTTTTTGTTTCCTATTAGCCAGTCTTGTAGTTATTTCAACATTTGCATACAAGAATTGAAGTACAAAGGGATCTCAGCTTTTCCCTTTGATGTCAACGATCTTTGTTCGAGACTGTGGAGTTTTTAAAGAAGAATGTCTTAGTCTGCACACTCACTTCCATTTATTTTCTATCTCATGTTTTATGATACATTATTGTTAGTGCTTATAAAGCTGATATAAAGCATTTTTTTATGGTTTAATTATTTAATGAGAAAGGGTTTTATATGATTATCTCAATTATTTAGACAGAAAAAAATGTCACTAATGTGTTTTATAAATGGAGTCTTTATATGTTTTTGGTGTAACTATGCCATTTAATCAGAAGAAGACACATTGCATAATTGTAAAAACTATTTTATGTAACGCCATGGATTCATTTGAAATGGCTATACTGATCTT